TCCACCGGACAGATGTTGCTCTCCGGTTGTGATGAAACAAAGGTGTGGTTGAATTTATTCTGCCACTGTGTCTTCTTATTGTCTCGAAATTAGGCCTATAGCCTATATCACGGTGGCAAGGCATATGAGCTAACAGGATTTATAGAGCAAACAATGCAATTATCACAACACATAGGTTGTAATATGGCTTTGTTGGACATTTTTTGTTTATCTACTTAGACAACATAACAAACCAATTATATGAATTATGCATGTTGTAGAATGAAATGCCTATATGCCCTATATGCCTATGGATTAAGAACCAATTTAACAATAGTAGAGACATGTCTTAAGTGCAATTGCTGTGCTTCTGAGAAAGCTCCCTGCAGCTGGTCTGGGTGTGTAGTCAAGGACATGGGATGGAGATAAACTTCAGGAACAGATAGACCTGTATAGACCTGTATTGTTTCTCATTGCTTCTGAGTAACCTGGTCACACGGTCAGGACACAGAGCCTCAGAGTGACCACAGTTGTTCACCCTGTCTTTTACTATCTTCCAAGGGTGCAGCTGTGTGGAGATAGGAGTAGCAACAGAACTAACGTTATCACTTGTTTGTGCGCTATGACCCGATACACATAGCCTGACCCGGTACACATAGCCACATACACATAAACACATACACATAGTCACAAGAAGAAACCATAGTGGCTCAAGGTCCAGGGAGGGTGGCTGTTTGGATAAAGAGGGTGTTAAGGAGACCAAGCAGACATGGGGATAGACAAGAAAGAATCCCATTTTTCAGTAGACTAAAAATTATATGTTGAACATAGTTAAATCCTTTTAGACTATAAAGTTAAAACATAGTTAATCACAAAGACAAGCAGTATGATTAAGTGATACAGAGAGTGGTACAGAGAATGAGGAGGCCTGGAACAGAGCCAGGAGATGGATGACATGGACCAAGGAAAGGGCCTGCTCATTCTTACTATGTGTGGGAAATATACGCTATGCATGAGAATTGTACATGTCTGAGAACTGATTATACTGCTATGCATGAGGAATGTCTTAAATGTATATGGTTGAGAATGGGTTATGGACTCGATGCTGTAATCGCTGCCAAAGGCGCTTCAACAGCATACTGAGTAAAGGGTCTGAATACTTATGTAAAGCAAAAAAAACTGTTTTTGCTTTGTCATTATGGGGTGTTGTGTGTAGATTGATGATAATTTTTTTTTTTTTTTAATCAATGTTAGAATAAGGCTGTAACATAACAAAATGTGGAAAAAGTCAAGGGGTCTGAATACCTTCCGAAGAAACTGTAGGTACCATGACTTGCATGGGATTTGTGCCAAAAATGCTAAAACGTTGCCAGAGAAACTAAACCAAAGCATGGCTTGCTGTCATACCTTGTCCTTGTCCATAGACTGCGACAGGGTAAGGAAATCAATTTGTTATTTTGTCATTTAGGTGAACAATCCCTTTAAGCAAGCTAACTCAAAGCTAGCTATAAAATCTAATTGGTTTTGGGGCCTCCCGAGTGGCACAGCGGTCTAAGGCAAGGCGTCACTACAGACCCGGGTTCGATCCCAGGCTGTGTCACAACCATTTCAATTAAATGTTTCATGGACAAAACTACATTACATTTACATTTACGTCATTTAGCAGACGCTCTTATCCAGAGCGACTTACAAATAGGTGCAGTCACCTTATAGCCAGTGGGATAACCACTTTACAATGTTATTTTATTTTATTTTATTTTTGGGGGGGGGGGTTGGAGTAAAGGGGTGGGGGGTAGAAGGATTACTTTATCCTATCCCAGGTATTCCTTAAAGAGGTGGGGTTTCAAATGTCTCCGGAAGGTGGTGAGTGACTCCGCTGTCCTGGCGTCATGAGGGAGCTTGTTCCACCATTGGGGTGCCAGAGCAGCGAACAGTTTTGACTGGGCTGAGCGGGAACTATGCTTCCGCAGAGGTAGGGGAGCCAGCAGGCCAGAGGTGGATGAACGCAGTGCCCTCGTTTGGGTGTAGGGACTGATCAGAGCCTGAAGGTACGGAGGTGCCGTTCCCCTCACAGCTCCGTAGGCAAGCACCATGGTCTTGTAGCAGATGCGAGCTTCAACTGGAAGCCAGTGGAGTGTGCGGAGGAGCGGGGTGACGTGAGAGAACTTGGGAAGGTTGAACACCAGACGGGCTGCGGCATTCTGGATGAGTTGTAGGGGTTTAATGGCACAGGCAGGGAGCCCAGCCAACAGCGAGTTGCAGTAATCCAGACGGGAGATGACAAGTGCCTGGATTAGGACCTGTGCCGCTTCCTGTGTAAGGCAGGGTCGTACTCTCCGAATGTTGTAGAGCATGAACCTACAGGATCGGGTCACCGCCTTGATGTTAGCGGAGAACGACAGGGTGTTGTCCAGGGTCACGCCAAGGCTCTTCGCACTCTGGGAGGAGGACACAACGGAGTTGTCAACCGTGATGGCGAGATCATGGAACAGGCATTTTTTATTTTTGTTTAGCTCACATAATATAATTTCAAATTATGCATTAAGATGTATGTAATAGAATAAACGTGGCAAACACGAATGTAGACATTATTAAATGCATTTCTATAGCTTCTAAAATATGTTTTACTATGGTGAGGGAGTGCCAAGATGGAGGCGCGGTGGTTTCAACACAGCGCCCACAATTTGTAATCTAGTGTATATATAAATTATTGGTTCAATCTAGATGTGTTTCTTGCACAGAAAAATAAAGCCATTTGAACTGACTGTGATAGCCATAGAGATAGATAGAGGACTCATCTTTGTATCTGTACCATTATAGTGTCTGTGACAGCATGGGCATTGCCATTGAGGCTACAACCCATAGGAATTACATTTACATTTTAGTCATTTAGCAGACGCTCTTATCCAGAGCGACTTACAGTTAGTGAATACATATATATATATATATTTTTTATACTGGCCCCCCGTGGGAAACGAACCCACAACCCTGGCGTTGCAAACGCCATGCTCTATCAACTGAGCTACATCCCTGCCGGCCATTCCCTCCCCTACCCTGGACGACGCTGGGCCAATTGTGCGCCGCCCATGAGTCTCCCGGTCGCGGCCGGCTGCGACAGAGCCTGGATTCGAACCAGGATCTCTAGTGGCACAGTTAGTACTGCGATGCAGTGCCTTAGACCACAACAATGATTTATACATTTACACTGTAGACATTTATTTATGTCTACATTCGTTTTTGCCGCATTTATTCTATTACAAACACATTCATGCATACTTTGAAATTAAGTGAGCTAAACATACAAATAAAAAAATATTATATATATATATGTTTAATGTCATTAAAGTAAAAAAAACGAATGTGATTACTAATGTTACTGTCCCCACTACAACACAAATCATTAAATACATGTAATTTTGTCCTTGAAACATTTCATTGAAATACTGATGAATTACATTCATTCATATGGTGGACTGCTCCTACTTGGAAGTGCCAATATGGCCGTCCGGTGGCGTCAAATCCTCTTAATGGCCAATACATAGCATCAGCAATCCAGAGTTTATATACATAATTGATCCCCACCCTGTTGACTACTTGTACTACTTTAAAATGGCAAAAGCATAATGGAAGCCCTCAATGTCAATGTCCATGCTAAAATGGGCTTTATAAACTGGTTGGTTCGAGCCCTGAATGCTGATTGGCTGAAAGCCATGGTATATCAGACCATATACCACTGGTATGACAAACCATTTATTTTCACTGTTCTAATTACATTGGTAACCTGTTTATAATAGCAATAAGGCACCTAGGGGGTTTGTGGTATATGACCAATATACCACGGTTAATGGTTGTATCCAGGCACACCATGTTGCGTTGTGCATAAGAACAGCCCTTAGCAGTGGTATACTGGCCATATACCACACCCCTCGTGCTTTATTGCTTAAATATCCACGATGAGTAGTCTAACTATCTCTATGGTGACAGCCCTCTTGAATCTGAAATTTCAGCAAAATGAAGTCGGATTTTTTTGAACAGCTAAAAATGAACTATTTGTGGCCAGGGCTTTGAAGAAGAGTTATTATTATATTTTTTTTGCATATTGACAACAGTAACAGTAAGTGGGATGTTTATGAATACAGCTTCTAGACGTTTTGTTACGATAGTGAGTGTATTTTGTTGGTTTCATTTCAATTAGGGTGCACTGACTGTGCGAATATGCAGCACATAAAATCTACTTGGATCAGATTTTCAATCGTATAATATGTTTCATAAGGCAGGTGAATTGACTAGCAAAAATGAAAGGATAACTTTAAATCGCTAATAATAATGTAGAGGAAATGATACGTCAGTGACATCGACATCATCATAGCACTGACTGACATTTGTATCGCTTGCTTCTTCAAGCATGCATGAACGATTCTTTCTCGATGAAATGCCATTACGTGCCAATTTGTTGGAATATTGCCTTTGTGCATTATCTATCTGGCATTGCATATCTGACAGACAGACGGGAACATTTCTATCTTTGTCCACCCTACCTCGTTTAATGCAAATAGATTGCAGACATACTTTGTCTGACCGCAGCCGGTTTCTGCTCCAGATTGCGTGACTATTGATCAGATTCGATATTTCTACTGGCCATGGAAATAAAGCTTTTGATATTGTAGGACATTTCATTATGACCGTTTGATTTAACTGAAAATGGTATCAATTATATTAGCTGAGAAAGAGTACAGTAGAAGGGTCCAGGTGTGGTCAGGTCTCCTGCAGCTGTTGACACAGAAGCGCGACTTTCCACCCTGCTATGGTCAGGAAGGAAGTCATGTGATAGTCAGCAGCCGTTCATATGAGCCAGGGGCAGGAGGCTTAGTGGAGAGAGCTAGTAGGCAGGATGCCCCAAAAGCTGATTCAGGAGGTGCATGATACTTTGCTTCTTTTCCTTTACCACAAGCAGGTGAAAGTACTGGATAGGCTTTAAGTTTCAACATCTATCTCGCCTGTTAGGCCCAGATTTACAGGCAATGCAAACCAGTGATCTGAAGGACACAAGAAGAGTAAGCCACATCACAATGTTGAGATGCACAATGTGAATGTTGAGATGCACAATGTGAATGTCACAAAGGCTTTACCTGACTGTGACATCTTTATTCTGCTCTGTCTTCAGGTACACATGGCAGTGGCAGGTAAAAATGACTTTGCAGTTCTCAACACCGGGCGGAAGATGCCTCTCCTTGGGCTGGGAACATGGAAGAGTGAACCTGGCAAGGTAGGTGCCTCACACTTGATTGATTAACCATTAATATTTTTGATCAAATATTTCTCCCAACTCACCTGTAGTGTAGTATCAATATTGGCTTGCTGTTTGGGTCTTTGTAAGCAGCGGTTTTCTTGTTGGGTTGGCTGTATTCCAGGTTAAACAGGCAGTAATCTGGGCCTTGCAGGCTGGCTACCGTCACATCGACTGTGCTGCCATCTATGGCAACGAGGTGGAGATCGGAGAAGCTCTGCAGGAGACACTTGGCCCTGACAAAGTAAGCCATCACCAATGTTGTGTCCCAGATGGCACCCTAGTCCCTAATTTAGTGCACTACTTTCGACCAGAGCCCTAGAAATATGGTATTTAAGGCTTATTACCATAGACTCCATTGGCAGATACTGAGATGGACATAGTTGGTCTGTTATTATTGTGCTAGCTGGCACAGGGAGGTCTTGATAGTATATTTGGCATGTGAATGATTTAAATAAGTTACGAGCTAGCCAGGAGTCGAACCTCAAATCTGTAGTCGGACGCATTACCCATTGCACTACTAGCCCACTGATGGGTCAAAAGGTGTGTGTGTGTGTGTGTGTGTGTGTGTGTGGTCTTCGTTTACACCTGTCTCTGTATACAGGCCCTGAGGCGAGAGGATGTGTTTATCACCTCCAAGCTGTGGAACACACAGCATCACCCGGAGGATGTGGAGCCCGCTCTGCTGAAGACACTGAAGGAGCTGAGGCTGGAGTACCTGGATCTCTACCTTATCCACTGGCCCTACGCCTTCCAGTGAGTAGCCTCCATGGGGTCTGGCCTACTCAACATTGCTTCTGCTATGGAGAGGCAAAATAACTAGCATTAGTGAACATGTTACAGCAAATAAATGCATAGAATTGTCAGACAAAATTTTATTTTAATTTCAATCCAATTTGGGTACACTTGCTATTAGAATGTTTTGAATGATCTATTCACATTACAGTGGTTGTGTAGTTAAACCAACTGTATGGCCATCCTATTGAATTTTCAAACCATGTACATGGGTCATCATGACAGTGTTAACACTGTGCCTGCTCTTCACCTTGTCTTCCCCACAGACAAGGTGACGCTCCTTTCCCCAAGTCGGAGGACGGCACCCTGCTGTACGATGACATCGACTACAAGCTGACTTGGGCTGCCATGGAGAAGCTGGTGGGAAAGGGCCTGGTCAGGGCTATCGGCATGTCCAACTTCAACAGCAGACAGATAGACGACGTTCTCTCTGTAGCCAACATCAAACCCACTGTGCTTCAGGTGAGGAGATATGTGGCATGTGCTGACTGTGCGTACATTATTAATAGCTACCTACCTAAAGATCAGTTGGGCAACGATTGGAAAAAGCTTCCAAGCTAGCCAGGAGTCTAACCTAGAATCTTCTGATCTGTAGTCAGACGTGTTATGCATTGCGCCACTAGCCTACTGAAAGTGGTTGTATTTGTTTGTATGTGTGTTGTCTCTTCGTCACTGCCACAACCAGTCTTCTCTCAGGCTACCATCTCTCTTCCAATATCCTTTGCATACAACCCTCCACCTACTGTCTCTTTGTGTCCCTGTCAGAAATACAGCAAGTGTTTGTTTAATGACTGTTAAATACTAGGACATATGAGTGTTTGGTTTATGAGTTATTTTGCTAGGTAGGGAGTTATTGATATGGGGCATGTACATTATAACTCCTTACTTTACGATCAGTTGATTAAAATATCGAAAAAGTTTACAAGCTAGCCAGGAGTCCAACCTAGAATCTTCGGATCCGTAGTCATCCATTGCACCACTAGCCCACTGACAGTTGTGGTGTATGTTTCTCTGTTTTCCAGGTGGAAAGCCATCCGTACCTGGCTCAGGTGGAGTTGCTGGGACACTGTCGGGACAGGGGCCTGGTGATTACGGCGTACAGCCCACTGGGGTCACCGGATCGGGCATGGAAGCATCCTAACGAGCCTGTCCTCCTGGATGAAGCAGAAATCGACACCCTGGCCAAGAAGTACAACAAGTCCCCAGCACAAATCATCCTTAGGTGAGTAATGTTGTATAATTTTCTAGCCTAGGACTCTTTACTCAATGATAACCCAACATCCCATGTCATATACAAATGCCAGAAATACACTGATTAGGTACAGAAAAATAAACTGATATTATGAGCCTATCAGCGGGATACTGATGCCGTGTGTTCCACAACTGAGAAGTGATGAACACATCCTCTTGCGTCAGGGCTTGTACAGTGAGACGGGTGTAAAATAAACACACAAACAAAAACACACACCTTGCCTTTAGCCAATAAGTGCGCTAGTGGCGCAATGGATAACGTGTCTAACTACGGATCAGAAGATTCTAGGTTTGACTCTGGGTTAGCTCGTAACTCTTTTCAATAATATCCCAATTCGTCTTTAGGTAGGCAGGATAAATGTAGCAGTATACACAGCACATACCAAATATATTAAGACCTCCCCACCTAGCACAATAATTCATAAAATAAATTACTAAAACAAACACTCTTATGGTCTAGTGGTCAGATCCTGCTTTTCATGTAGCCTATTTTTATCTCCAAATCAAATCATGTACATCTTGTCTGTATGCTAGATGGCAGACCCAGCGAGGAGTAGTAACGATCCCTAAAAGTGTGACGGAGTCTCGGATCAAAGAGAATATTCAGGTGGGTATTGTTTTTGTTATCTAAGCCTATTTCTTTACAAGTATTGTGGTTTTATAGTATTCTATTGTATGATGACAATCTATAATTGTAAATTGGTGCCCATTTCAGTCTACTCCTGCGAGAAACCAAAACTCTTCTACTACTACTACTATTCCTACCCATCTCATAAAACTGTTTGCAGAAGTCCCGTCATGTAATAATATGATTTATTTGACTACTGAGTGTACGCTTAATCTAAATATGTGTGCATCCTCAGGTATTTGACTTTACCCTTGACGCAGAAGAGATGAAGTGTATAATGGCATTGAACAAAGGCTGGCGCTACATTGTACCAACCATCACAGTGAGTGGCTTTAGAGCTCCCTCTAGTGGTATATATATATATATATATATGTATGTGTGTGTGTGTGTGTGTGTGTACAACAGAAGTGAGACCAGAGAGTGTTGTTATTGAATTTTTATGGGTTATGTGATGGCCAGCTAACAATAGTATCAGCTCACTATACCACATTTAACTATATCTGCTGTATGTAATCAGTTGGTAGAAGAAAGTAACCAAAATGTGGTGTCTCTATTGACATTTCACCATAAAGTTTTCAATGGGTTAGTGGTGCAATGGACTGAGAATCAGGAAATTCTAGGTTTGACTCCTGGCTAGCTCTTAACTTTTTTTCCAACTGTTGTTGCAGGTTGATGGGAAGCCCGTCCCCAGGGATGCAGGACATCCACACTATCCCTTCAGTGACCCCTACTGAGCAATGCCCTACACTGCTGCCCTCTTTTGTGCCTTGGGAACTCACTCCCCTTCCTCAACCCCCTCCAAGGCTGTGTCCCAATTCCATTAAATGTCTTCCTCCTTCCTGACCACAGATTCCTCCTTCCTGACCACTGATTTGATAAGGGGAAAGAGGGCCATTTAAGGGGAAAGAAGGTTGTGGAAAATCCATCTCCTTTCAGATCATTGGTCATGGTGGTGTGGGGTGATGAGGAAAGGGGTCTTTTTGAGAGTATTGGGACATAGCATGTTCTTCATAATAAAATGTTTTTTGTTACTGCCCTTTTCAGTGATTCATTGTTTGGTTTTGTGACGAGGGGTAATTACAATGCTTGTTTACAAGGAGGGAAAACTATGAATGTAGAGTTTCAACATGCAGAAACAGTCTAACAACACCTCTGTCTGACATGCTTTTGGACTCTGGCAGCACAAAAGCACTGAAGTGGCATGTTGATGGATATGCAGTGTTATGTTTTGTATTTTAAATGTATTGAACCCATCTATCACCTTGCTGCCCAGTGCTTACAACCGACTCAACATAAAGAGATATTTCCTACTTGAATGTCCATGAGTAGCTTGAGCTTCTTATAAAAATATATATATATATATATATGGAGGATAGTACACAGCTGCAGCAGGCATTCTCATGTCCCAGTCACAAAGACATCCCTGGACCACCTGGATGAAAAGCAGGAATCTGATTTGACTACTAGAAAATATCAATGTTTTCTTATGCTTATTTTATTGTTATGAATTATTGTGCTATATATTTGGTCTGTACGTTTACCAGTCAGTATGATTCTTTCTAACTATTCAAAGTGAAAGACCCTGTGGGAAGTGAAAAAGATACGAGCTAGCCAGGAGTCGAACCTAGAATCTTCTGATCCGTAGTCAGACGCGTTATCCATTGCGCCACTAGCCCGCTGTAGAACGCAAAATATAATAACCTCTTATATTCTGTACATAATTTGTATTTTCAGGTTCCAAAATGTATCGACGTTTGGTATTTACCAGTAACAAAGTTGGCTACATGCAATGGATTGATGATTAGTTGAACGACCTTTCAGATGATCGAGCAATGATTATAAGAATGTTACATTGTATCATGGCAGTTCCCCTTTAAATGTAATCTCCCGCGTTCTGTGAAATTCAAGTTGAAAGTTCAGCGGAAGTGTACATCGTGTCAGTATTTAAACGCGCCAACAAAGCCGAGTGAAAGAACGTACATATTCCTGGACAAATCTGTGTTTATTTACACGACATAATCTCTGTCGCGTAACCAACATGCCCGAGGAAACAGCAGCTGCTTCAAACTCAGAAAGGTGAGCCCATTTGTGTGCCTTCGCATATCCCTCTCTGCTTTGTTAGCTAGCTTTTGTTCTCTGAGTTTGCTTACTAGCTACAGTAGCGTCTTTAAGCCGTGGTGTACTAACGCTAGCTAGCTACTGATAGCTAGCCGAAACCTGTAGTTAGTCAACGTTAGCTAATAGTTATCTATGCATGAACAGTTCCCATGCAACAAACAATGCAACGTAGCAAGACGTTCCGCCAGTGACAGTGTCGGCTAACGTTGCTAAGTAACGTTACACAGCCCAAATGATGGCACGAGTCGTGGATGGCGTTAACTGCGTTACGCTAACCTTCCAGTTAGGTGGGTAGTTTGAATGCATTACATTAGCCAGTTAGCTAACGTTCCCTCGAATTGGACGATGTTTTGTTGCACTTCTAGATGACGTTTGCCAGAAAGTAACGTTAACTCGAATTAGCTGGCTAAAGTAGGTAGTTAACTAACGTTAGTTAGCCCGAACTGGTTAAATAATTGGCTAATTGCCTAGTGAAGTAGGTAGCTAGTTAGCAAAGCATGAAGCAATTTCACCTACCAATACTCAAGACCTGCTCGCTGCGGTGACATGTTGACGTTAACTTGTGCTGCTACCTAAGAACATTTTTTAAAGCTTTCCTAAAGGTAAACTACGATGGGCTTTTTTTTTTTTTTATCTATCCAGGTGTTAACTCAAACGTCGTTAGTCAAGTCACGTCCGTGTCAACTTGCAAAACAAAACGTTGTTTCTTATTCCAACACTCGTTACCTGGATGGCTGCACTCCCGAGAAGCACACTTTCGTTCGAAGCAGGTTTAATAAGGATCGGATAGAAAAATGGTCGCTCCCATGCTGAGATTACTTGCGTTGCATTTACCTGCATTTGTCACTTTGTTTCAGCATGGAAGAAAAGCCCTGCTCTTCAAGTGCTGCAACAGCGGACGGGTGAGAAACTGCACTTTATTTTGTTTACATTTATACTAATTTTATGAAGTAGTTTGTCTTTGTTTTTCTTAGTATTCACTCCACATGGACTATTCATGCAGTAAGTGAAGTAAAAAATATTTATTTTGGTTGTCCTGTCTGAACCATAGCTCTGTCGACGTGATGGCGGAGGCAAAGAAGTTGATTGGCGCTGGGAACAGGCATCTGGTGATGGGTGATGTAGTTTCTGCAGTCAACGTGTTCCAGGAGGCTTGTGGCATGTTGTGAGTACTGAGACCCAATGGCTAGGATTAACTGTGGATTTGAAGTGTTATGAGGCTCATTGGCTTGATTGTGGATTTGATGTTGGCGTGGAATTCTCTTGACCCGACCTCACTGCCTGACGACTCATCCTAAGTGTAATTCTGCTACTCTATCAATTGCTACATATATTCAGTATGAATCTGCCATCCTAGAAGTTTGTATGTCAAAATGAGGGGTGTTGCACAAAACAAATTCAGCAATGATTGGATCGTCTAACTAGAGTATCAAAGTTGATCACCTCATGTAGGCTGGCTCTGGCCAAACCATCTGTTGGTATTCTAAAAGTTGTTGGAGAGGGAGGCAAATCCAGACTCATGGTGGAGCTGTTAGTAGGTGTGGTGTTTGGCTTGCGCGATGTGACTGGGTAGCCAATGAGCTGACCTCAGCCAGTACACGCCATATTCACCTCTTCTCCCTCAGGGCTGAGCGGTATGGGGACACTGCAGATGAGTGTGGAGAGGCCTTCTTCCTGTGTGGGAAGTCTCTGCTGGAGCTTGCCAGGTAAGTGGAAGTATGCTACTGCATGTGCCTCTTCGACACGTGCTGTACCTGTGTTCAGTTTGTAGTTTAACAGCACCATGCTCTGAGTTATGGATATTCAAATTAAATGGCTGCTTGTGGTGTTGCAGGATGGAGAACACTGTCTTGGGTGATGCTCTGGAGGGAGTCCCTGAGGAGTCATCTGAAGAGGGAGAGAAGCAGGAGAACTCAAAGTTTGAGAGCGCTGACAACTTGGATGGTAAGCAGTAGTTGACCTCAACCTGACCAACATTTGGTTAATGGCTGCTTGTTACAGTTCTCTGGTACAATTGACTTGTATGGTGCAAAACTCGCGTTTAAATTTTTTAGAATTGCATTATTGGTAGGTTAAGTGTCATTATGATGTAAAATTATAGGCCCCCTGTCACTGGGCAAGGTGGTGCCCTCTAATGGCACTGACTCTTATATCTGAGAGGGAACGGGCCACATTCATCCCAGTCAGCTCTGTGCAGTGAGGTGGGAGGCTGGTTCACGCTCTGGGCACAGATGGAGATGTCTTTTTACATCCACTCATTAATGGCATATTAGAGGAACAATGTAACAAGGTTTCATGTATCTGGTCCAGAGAAAACGAGGGACGAGCTTCGAATGCAGGTATATGAGGCAATGGCAGAGAAGGAAACCACTAATGGGAAAGATGGCAAAACTGAGCCAAAGGAGGAAGGGAAGAAGGAAGAGGGGAAGATGGAAACAACGGCAAAGGAGGAGGGCGCTGCCAAGTCTCCTGTCAAGAACGGGCATGAGCATTTGGAACCTCCTGTGACTGGGGTGGAGAAGACACCTGAAGGGAACGCAGAAGGTGGGAAGGAGAATGATGTGAAGACTTCTGAAGAGCAGAATGGAAACGGCGAAGAGGCTGAGGAAAAGATGGAGGGTGAAGGTAGACTTGGTGTAGGACACTGTTTGGGTGCACCATGTGGATTGGGACAAAGGGATGTTGCACAAATGATGTTTAATTTGCAGTAGGGCTGTAAATGGATTGTAAATGAACTCCTCTCTTACAAATTGAAGTTTTACACTGCACTGTTGAACTACCGCTGTCACATTACTACTAAGGACAAGCTTTTCCTAAATCTCTGGTTATGTACAGTTTGTCTGGTTTTCCTGACGTGTAGGACTGCTGTAGCTTAGGCTTACTGTTCTCTTTGCCTCTACCCTTAGATGACGATGATGATGATGATGAAGGGGAAGGCACTGCTGAAGACAAGGTAAGATATCCCTTTGTCACGATTCACTACATTACCTAAACTCTGGACACCTGCTCGTCAAACATCTCATTCAAATCATGGGTGTTTTAATATGAAGTGGGCCCCCTAATTTGCTGCTATAACAGCCTCTACTCTTCTGGGAAGGCTTTCCACTAGCTGTTGGAACATTGCTGCGTGGACTGGCTTCCATTCAGCCACAAGCATTAGTGAGGCGATTAGGCCTGGCTTGCAGTCGCCGTTCCAATTAATCCCAAAGGTGTTCAATGTGGTTGAGGTCAGGGCTCTGTGCAGGCCAGTCAGGTTCTTGCACACTGTCTTTGACACATTTCTGTATGGACCTCTTTGTGCGCAGGGGCTTTGTCATGCTGAAACAGGAAAGCGTCTTCCCCCAAACTGTTGCCACAAAGTTGGAAGAACAGAATATTCTAGAATGTCAGTGTATGCTGTAGCGTAAAGATTTCCCTTCACTGGAACTAAGGGGCCTAGCTCAAACCATGAAAAACAGCCCCAGACTATTATTCCTCCTCCACCAAACTTTAGTTGGCACTATGCATTCAGGCAGGTAGTGTTCTCCTAGCATCAGCCAAACCCAGATGTGTCTGACTGCCAGATGGTGACGTGTGATTCATCACTCCAGAGAACACGTTTCCACTGCTCCATCCAATGGCGACAAGCTTTACACCACTCCATCCAACGCTTGGCATTGCGCATGGTGATCTTAGGCTTGTGTGCAGCTGCTCGGCCATGGAAACCCATTTCATGAAGCTCCCGACGAACAGTTGTGCAGTTTGGAACTCTGTGAGCGTTGCAACCGAGGACAGATTATGTCTACTCTTCAGCACTTGGCGGTCCATTCTGAGTTTGTGGCCTACCACTTAGCAGCTGAGCCTTTCTTGCTCCTAGACATGTCCTCTTAACAGCACTTACAGTTGACTGGGGCAGCTCTAGCAGGGCATACATTTGACAAACTGACTTGTTGGAAGGGTGGCATCCTGTGGCTGAAATGGCCGAATCCACTAATTTGAAGGAGTGTCCACATACTTGTGTTTCTCAAACTTCTAACCTGACTCTTCCATCTCTTGTAGGAGAGCGACGAGGAAGTGGGTAACCTGCAGCTGGCCTGGGAGATGCTGGAGGTTGCCAAGGTCATCTATAAAAGGTCAACTCTACCTCCTAGTGCTCCCTGTAGAAGGCTACCATCACACACTTCCTGGCGTATATGATTTCAATGGACTAACTTTCACCTGCTTCCCCTTCTCTCCTCATCCAAACAGGAAGGAGAATGAGGCGGACCAGTTGATGGCAGCACAGGCCTATCTGAAGCTGGGAGAAGTTGGTGCTGAATCTGGTATGATTATGTGCTGGTCCTTGCAATGGAATTTTTTTTTGCTCAATTTAAAATATTTTGCTACAGCATGCCCTACTAAACACAACCATGTAGTTATGTTAACTTCATACTCCATCCCATTTCAGATCAGCTTGCCCTTCCCTCAACCTGTGTTTCCTGACCCTGGTCCCAGAGTACCCCCAACAGTACACATTTTTGTTGTAGCCCTGGACAAACTCCTCGTTGAGGGCTTGGTGATTAGTTGAATCAGGTGTGCTTGTCCAGGGTTACAATAAAAATATGTACTGTTGGGGTTACTGGAGGAGCAGTGTTGGGGAAACCCTGCTTTACCTCAGGTCTTAAACCCTTGCACCACACTACAGATGTGTTTATAGTTGTGGTCACGTCATACTCAGCTTGGCTCTGCCTCTCCCAGGTAACTACCCTGCAGCGGTGGAGGACTTCCAGGACTGCCTGTCCCTGCAGCTGAAGCACCTGCCCCCCCACAGCCGCCTGCTGGCTGAGACTCACTACCAGCTGGGAATGACTTACTGCTATACAGGCCAGTACAGCCAGGCCATCCAGCACTACAGCAGCTCTGTCAAGGTCATTGAGGGCCGCCTGGGTAAGCTGGATAAATATAATGAAATGTGCCTTATAGCAGACTTACCTATGCATTTTAGTGTTTGAACCCACAACCTAGGTGTTGCTAGTGCAATGTTACCAATTTGGGGGGGGGGGGGGGGGGGCTCTGTTCTTAGAAACTGATTGGCCCTTATCGAAGCCCATTCGGCCTAGCCCAGCTGAGTCGGTTAAAGGAGCCAAAAGCATATTTTACTGATGGTTGCTGTTTGGATTTCTTGTAGCTTATCAGCAACAATTTGGGCGAGAACATTAACTTTTTGCACTTGATTCAACGCTATCTGCGCAGTCATGCTACAGCACTAGCTATGACCTGTCAACCTCTGACCTGTCACTTGCAAACCTTGTTTCTGTGTCTAGCCATGCTCCAGGAGGTGATCGACAAGGGTGAGGATGGAGCTAAGGAGGAGAAGACTGAGCTGGAGGAGCTGAAGCTGCTGCTGCCTGACATCGCTGAGAAGGTGGAGGACGCCAAGGAGAGTCAGAGGACTGCAGGATCAGCTTCCGTGGCCATACAACATACCCTGGTGAGACTGCCTGTGGGATACTGGCTAGGATTGTGTTAGTCACCAAACAGGGAGGAAATTGTCCAATAAATGCTCCTTTTAATCTAAAATGTTTTGATACAATGTGTCTTAATGAATATTACTTGGTATAGCAGCTCTAGTAAATGTTTCAGACCACTGAACCGTCCAAGGTACAAGTCCAGTCCACTTTTCAACTGCTAATTAGAAAGTTGAGCGTATCCAGCTAGTTTCTGCAATTGATCTGTGGGTTTATGCTCTTAAATCTTCTGATCTCTTCCAGTCCGGGGCCTCTACTTCGTCAGCATTCCCAGCTTCCTCATCGGCTTTAGCAGAAAACAGTGGACCATCTTCGTCAGCATTCGAAGCCAGTCAGGTCATTTTGTCTCTTTGTGAAGTCCATCTTAAATGTTTCTTGCGCCTGGAATGAAACCTTGTGCTAACTCAAACAAATGACCCTAGATGTCAGTAACTTTAGAAAGCAGGCTGATGTTCATGACCAATTCCCTTATCCTGTTTCAGATCCCTGTCAGGTCAGCGGCTGACTGTGCATCCTCCAAATCTGCATCAGACATTTCCCACCTGGTCAGGAAAAAGGTGAGGCGCTCTTGCCTGACCTCTACCTCTGCTGCTTACTACTTATCCCAGCCTGGCGTGGCAGGGATGCTCATGTTGCTCATATCCTGGTGTATAGATTATGCTCTGCAGATTACTGTGCTCTGGCAGCTTGTAGTAGACCGCTCCCATGTCCAATCAATCCATGCCCCCTTTCCTAGTATGTTGCATGAATTTCTTGCTTGCTTAGTTCCGAGGGTGACCCCCCCCCCCCAAATGGTTGATTGCTTTGCTTTCATTCCGATCTCCTTTTTGATTGAGCGTTATGCCTGTGTAGGTTTTTTGAGTTGTGGTGCGGTGGCTTTGTTATTGTGTGGCAACGTTAGTGCGGATTACAGTAGAGGTGAGGTGATGTTGAGAAGCTGACTTTGGTTTGTATTCCTGAACAGAGGAAAATGGAGGAGAGCCCCGTAAAGGACACTGATGCTAAAAAGACCAAGCAGGAAACTACAGTTAATGGCAGCGGCGACTCCGGCTCTGCCAGCAACGGCAATGAAGTCCAGGATAAAGGGGCACAGGAGGCGAGTTGATAGGTTTATAACTCATTCTCAGTAGGGTTGGGTGCAGCAGAGGAAGTTGGTATTGGTGGAATCTTGTGGAAGGGGACCCCAACCTAGGCAGTGTCCTGTTTTCATGTGAACAGACCAGCGTGCTATGACGTGTTTGACCAAGACTCGTACGGGTTTCATAAGTCCTCCAACTGCTTAATCTCTACAGTATTAATGGACCCCTGACAGGGATGGTAGGTTTATCTGGATTAAAGCGGCGTCCAGGCGTTTTACTTTCTGATCTACTTCTGATGTTCGCTTATTAAATGTAGTTTGTTTTTTCCTTTCCTATAGCCTGCCAAGCCGTCCTCTGCGGAGTCTTCTGCGTGATGTCAATTCCTCGTGACTTCCTGATCGTCCAGCCTATCCCCCTAACACTTGTTTCTGTAAATATGACAATTTTCTCACTTGCCCAAGTTTTGTATACTTGTAGTAATAAAAGTTAAAATGTGCATATCTGAATTGCTTGTCTTCAGAGTTAATACTGCTTTATTTTGGTTACAGTATAATTTGAACCTGTTTAGGTACCAAGCTATTAATTTTGTCTGGGTAGAGTTTAGTGACACTGGTGCCTTTGCCAACTATGCTTGGATGTGGTGTAGATGTCGAGGGGGTTCTCCCAGGGTAAGATACACACGACGTGAAAAATAATATTTTCACTCCCATTAGTTTTTAGAGATTGCTGTACATGATACTCGTCTGTGGTGGGAGGGCAGGCTGAAGGACCCAGTGCGGGGTGGTGGCATGTATGAGATGGCTGGGCTGTCACTGTCTGGCTTGGGGCTATAGCAGTCAAACTGGTCCAAGGGTAACTGGGATCGGTCTGTCCAAGTAGGATCAGAATGTCCTTTTGGTTCAGGGTTAATCAATGTTTCTTACTAACACATGGAATATATTAAATGTCTATGGGGTTACCCAAATCATTTGAACACATTTGGGACCAGGGTAAGGACTTGTACTCTACACCTCAACACATGGTGCCATCTGGTCCTTGACTCTATCTTCCACTCAAACAAATAGACGCCCCGGTCCGGAGCTTCACCTACCAAAAAGATGTAACGTGATTACATCTTCAGTGAATGCAAATTTACTTATCACAGGCCCGTGAACAAATTACTGTAGGACTTGATGCTGTCTGCCACAATGCATTCACTACAACAGTACCTGATTTTGTATGGCATAGGTGCTCCGGAACACTTTTGCATTTGCTAATACTGTCAGGACAGACTACTGTGTGCTTTTGGCATCGCTCATTTTATATGAAACGCTACAAAATACAGAAGGGAAGCCATCAATGACTGAATAGATGGCATACATTTGCAAAATCCAGTTTTATTTTTCAGCCAGAGCTCAATCTCACCTGTCACACTCCCTTGCCTTGTGCTCTGACCTGTGATGGGGAGGCAACTGATTGCAGGAGGACTAGCATTTGTGCCCCTTGCGGGGGGGAGGGAGAGAAGTAGTCCCTCTGCTATAGGAATCGTGTTTCCGGAGGATCAGTGGAGTCCTGAGGGACAACGTACATGGCGTGCTGGTGGGACACCTTCCTGTAGAAAGACTTCAGACATAAAAATGTACGTTATTTGATAGCGTAGAGCTTTGCAAGTGCCGCGAAATGCTTGTTTCTAGCGCCAACAGTGCAGTAAAACCTGGCAATAACTCTCCACACATAATCCTAAAACATATCAGAATGTGTGAACAGTGCATTTGGAAAGTACTCAGACCCCTTGACTTTTCCCACATTTTGTTACGTTCCAGCCTTAAATCAATTTTAGAAGGCTGTAACAAAATGGGAAAATTCAAGGGGTCTGAATACTTTCTGAATGCACTGTGTAAAGACATGAGGAGAAAAGTTGTGTACAGCAGTAGTTATAGGATGAGCCATGACTACAATACAGTGTATATGCAAAAGTATGTGGACACCCCTTCAAATTAATGGATTCGCCTATTTCAGCCACACCTGTTGCTGACAGGTCTTTAAAAGCAAGCACACAGCCATGCAATCGCCATAGACAAACATTGGCAGTAGAATGGACTTACTGAAGAGCAGTGACTTTCAACATGGTACCGTTGTAGGATGCCACCTTTCCAACAAGTCAGTTCATCAAATTTCTGCCCTGCTAGCGCTGCCCCGGTCACTTATTGTGAAGTGGAAATGTTGAGGAGCAACGGCTCAGCCGCGAAGTGGTAGGCCACAAGCTCACAGAACGGGTCCGCTGAGTGCTGAAAAATTGTCTGTCCTCGAGTGTAACACTCACTACAAAGTTCCAAACTGCCTCTGGAAGTAACTTCAGCACAATAACTGTTGGTCGGGAGCTTCATGAAATGGGTTTCCATGGCCGAGCAGCCGCACACAAGCCTAAGATCACCATGCGCAATGCCAAGTGTCAGCAGGAGTGGTGTAAAGCTCGCCGCCATTGGACTCTGGAGCAGTAGAAGCGCGTTCTCTGGAGTGATGAATCACGCTTCACCATCTGGCAGTCCGAAGGACTGATCTTGGTTTGGCGGATGCCAGAAGAACCCTACCTGCCCGAATGCTTAATGCCAACTGTAAAGTTTGGTGGAGGAGGAATAATGGTCTGGGGCTGTTTTTCATGGTTTGGCCAGTGAAGGAAAATCTTAACGCTACAGCATACAATTACATTCTAGACCCCTCAAACTCAACTCTGGACCTCGAAGCCAGTTCTACTGCATTTTTTCCTTTGTTCCCCTCTAATCAGGGATTGATTTAGACCTGGGACACCAGGTGTGTGCAATTCAAGGTGGAACAGAACCAGCAGGCTCCGGACCTCGTAGGTTAAGAGTTTAGTACCTCTGTTCAAGATGATTCTGTGCTTCCAACTTTGTGGCAACAGTTTGGGGAAGGCCCTTTCCGGTTTCATCATGACAATGCTCCTGTGCACAAAGCGAGGTCCATACAGAACTGGTTTGAAGAACTTGACTGGCCTGCATTGAGCCATGACCTCAACCCCGTCGAACACCTTTTGGGATGAATTGGAACACCGACTGTAAGCCAGGCCTAATCGCCCGACCTCACTAATGGTCTTGTGGCTGAATGGAATTAAGTGCCCGCATTAATGTTCCAACATCTAGTGGAAAGCCATCCCAGAAGAGTGGAGGCTGTTATAGGACCCGTGTAGCTCAGTTGGTAGAGCATGGCGCTTGCAACGCCAGGGTTGTGGGTTCATTTTCCCATGGGGGGCCAGTATAAAAAAATTTATGCACTCACTAACTGTAAGTCACTCTGGATAAGAGTGTCTGCTAAATGACAAAAAATAAAATAAAAAATAGCAGCAAAGGGGGGACCAACTCCATATTAATGCCCATGATTTTGGAATGAGATGTTCGACGAGCAGGTGTCCACATACTTTTGACCATTGTAAATACAGTGCATTTTTCTCATCAATCTACACACAATACCCCATAATGACAAAGCAAAAACAGGTTTGTAGACATTTTTGCAAATGTATAAAAAAAACTATCACATTTACATAAGTATGCAGACCCTTTACTCAGTACTTTGAAGCCTCGCGTTATCTTGGGTATGACGCTACAAGCTTGGCACACCTGTAGTTGGGGAGTTTCTCCCATTCTTCTCTGCAGATCCTCTCAAGCTCTGTCAGGTTGGATGGGGAGCGTCGCTGCACAGCTATTTTCAGGTCTCTCCAGAGATGTTCTATCGGGTTCAAGTCCTGGCTCTGGCTGGCCCGCTCAAGGACATTCAGAGACTTGTCCCGAAGCCTCTCCTGCGTTGTCTTAGCTGTGTGCTTAAGGTCATTGTCTTGTTGGAAGGTGAACCTTCGCCCCAGTCTGAGGTTTTGAGCACTCTGGAGCAGATTTCATCAAGGATCTCTCTGTACTTTGCTCTGTTCATTTAAGAATGATGGAGGCCACTGTGTTCTTGGGGACCTACAATGCTGCATACATTTTTTTTAGGGGGTAGATCAGCTTTAATATTGCAGATTGTAACTTCCATCAATGTAATTGTCTGCATCACTTCCAATCCCCCATGTTTTTCTCTCGCATATATATGCTGATTTTGTATGTTTGCCCACTGACAAAGACATGATCAGTCTATAATTTTAATGGTAGGTTTATTTGAACAGTGAGAGACAGAATAACAACAACAAAATCCAGAAAAACGCATGTCAAAAATGTTATAAATTGATTTGCATTTTAATGAGGGAAATAAGTATTTGACCCCCTCTCAATCACAAAGATGTCTGGCTCCCAGGTGTCTTTTTATACAGGTAACGAGCTGAGATTAGGAGCACACTCTCTTAAAGGGAGTGCTCCTAATCTCAGCTTGTTACCTGTATAAAAGATACCTGCCCACCGAATCAATCAATCAGATTCCAAGCTCTCCAAGGATGTCAGGGACAAGATTGTCCACAAAAGAAATGTCAATCTCCCTCGGCCTGGGGCTCCATGCAAGATCTCACCTCGTGGAGTTGCAATGATCATGAGAACGGTGAGGAATCAGCCCAGAACTACACGGGAGGATCTTGTCAATGATCTCAAGGCAGCTGGGACCATAGTCACCAAGAAAACAATTGATAACACACTACGCCGTGAAGGACTGAAATCCTGCAGCGCCCGCAAGGTCCCCCTGCTCAAGAAAGCACATATACAGGCCCGTCTGAAGTTTGCCAATGAACATCTGAATGATTCAGAGGAGAACTGGGTGAAAGTGTTGTGGTCAGATGATACAAAAATTGAGCTCTTTGGCATCAACTCAACTCGCCGTGTTTGGAGGAGGAGGAATGCTGCCTATGACCCCAAGAACACCATCCCCACCGTCAAACATGGAGGTGGAAACATTATGCTTTGGGGGTGTTTTTCTGCTAAGGGGACAGGACAACTTAACTGCATCAAAGGGACGATGGACGGCGCCATGTACCGTCAAATCTTGGGTGAGAACCTCCTTCCCTCAGCCAGGGCATTGAAAATGGGTCGTGGATGGGTATTCCAGCATGACAATGACCCAAACACACAGCCAAGGCAACAAAGGAGTGGCTCAAGAAGAAGCACATTAAGGTCCTGGAGTGGCCTAGCCAGTCTCCAGACCTTAATCCCATAGAAAATCTGTGGAGGGAGCTGAAGGTTGGAGTTGCCAAACGTCAGCCTCGAAACCTTAATGACTTGGAGAAGATCTACAAAGAGGAGTGGAACAAAATCCCTCGTGAGATGTGTGCAAACCTGGTGGCCAACTACAAGAAACGTCTGACCTCTGTGATTGTTTTGCAGAGGGGTCAAATACTTATTTCCCTCATTAAAATGCAAATCAATTTATAACATCTTTGATGTGTTTTTCTGGATTTTTTTGTTATTCTGTCTTTCACTGTTCAAATAAACCTACCATTTAAAATTATAGACTGATCATGTCTTTGTCAGTGGGCAAACGTACAAAATCAGCAGGGGATCAAATACTTTTTTCCCTCACTGTATAAACCCCAGTCGTACTTTATCAAATGCCTTTTCGAAGTCTGCTGTGAATAGCAGGCCTG